TCTCTACTAAAAAAAAAAAAACCTTTACCAGAACAGGGCACAAAAAAGTTATGGATAAAAATGTTATGCATTAAAATATGAATAAAATTAAAAATTATTTACTTTAGATTGACTCTTTAAGGGCTGATTCCACCGTTGAGTTAAACGGAGATTAAAATGACATTGTTAATGTAAAAATGTCATTTTAAACTTCGTTTAACACAACGGTGGAATCGGTCCTAAAATATTTAGCTACAGCTGAAACTCTAAATACGATAGGCAGAAGACAATGGCAGTATTTGGCAATTATTGCAATTTAAGTAAACAAATTTAAAACTTACTGGAATTGAACCTGGATAATGGGAAGTAATAAACACATAATTTAAGTTTGTTCTATTATTTATTTGTTACAGGGTTTAAACCATTTACAAAATACATACATTGTTACTTATATGCATACAAAAAAATATTAATATTATTAATGTAACAAGCACATATTTGTTTTACCTTACAGCTCTTACTTCTCACTTTAAATTATAAAGGCATATCTATTAACAACTATTTTATTTAAAAGGATATTGAGTAGCAATCGGTGGTGCACAAACTAATTCATACTAATTCACAGTACCTATCTGTTCAAAATCTTAATCACCAGCTTTAATACAAGCATTAAACCTTCTTTTTTGAACACATTATGCAGTTTCTCCTCAGTTATATTTTGTATATCATTCAATATAGGTGCTCCAATTCATAAACCTCACAAACGATTTTGAATTGAGCGATCTGTAATATTCCATATGTAGTTTTAACAAAATTAAGGTAAAATGATTGTTGCAGTACCGAAACTTTATAGGGGATGCATTATCAGATTTTTTTTTAACTTTATGGCTAGTTCGTAGTGATGAACCTAAAAAAAAATATGTTTTGAATTTCACTCGCCAGAGTCAGTCTTTAAAACACCGTTCATACCTGTTTGAGGTGCTGTTTTTTTTTTACTAATTTATTGGGAATTTACAACATGTTAATTTGCACATCTTCAACAGCTTTTGTTATTACTTTGAGCATTTTAGACCTTTTTCCTTTTTTGAACAAGTATTTGTTTATGACGACAAAAAAGAATCACATTCCATTTATTCACCTGGAAAACGTTCCTCAAATTTTCGAATAATTTTGTTCCAGTATAACATTACCTACAATAAATTATATAGTCATTAACTTTTACGAGTTACAGTAAATAAATTTGTACTTACCAACAAAAAAGAATTAAGCCACCAATATTCTCTAAAAATAACTAATTGCTTTATTAATATTAAATGAAAAATGGACTAAGGGTGTTTATAAAATGTAAACAAATATAATATAAATATTGTCAGTCCCCAAATGAACGCCAGTGACATTTCTGACAGGATTGACAGTTCAGTTTAGTTCCTTTTACGTCAAATCAGGGCCTTTCGATGGTTATCAGATCACGTGGGTTTCGGGTATTGTTGAAGACCTGGTACTACTACATTAAGTATGGAAATTTCATCAAGGGATGCCGCACAGTTACACAAATCTACACATGTTAACTCTTTACAAAAAGGACATGGACATAAAACTAATACAAATTTTACACATACAAATACACATTTTACACATACAGATACACCCAAATACCCATACAAATAAAACATTTGGTACTAATAAAATATACTGTTTTAGATGTGGGGGTAAACACAAAGCAAATGTTTGTAAATTAGATAAAAACATTACATGTAAAAAATGTAATTTGAAAGGCCACTTACAGAGGGTTTGTATGAAAAATAAAAACAAACGATACACAAATCTTGTTGAGGAGGAGGGTCAGGATCAGCATAATTTGGATGAAATTCTTTTGGTAGATACCAAAGAACCAGAACATACAGAATTTAGAAAAAAATATAGATAATAGGTTGAAGTAGAAGGTAAGCCTATAAGTTTTGAAGTAGATGGTGGTTCTCCTGTTACATTTATATCAAAAACTTTACATGATACACATTTTTCAAACTTACAAATTCATATTGTAAAATGCCTATTGATTTAGTAGGATACATTTCAGTTCAGTTCAAAATGAGAGAAATTAGAAAAAAATTAAATATGTACATTACAGGTATAGATAGATCTCCCTTGTTAGGTAGAGAATCGATAAGACAATAACCATTGCATTATGATTTACATGATATTCAATTAGGTAGTAAAATTAAACTAGATACAATCTTACAGGATTATAAAGATATTTTTGCACCAGGTTTTGGAAAAAATACAGAATATTCAAGCAAAATTTACTTTGAAACTGAATTCCAAACCTGTTTTCCATTTAAATCAATACCTTTGTTTCGTTTGTGCGGAGATTTCAAAGTTACAGTAAATCCTTGGTTAATTATAGATGACCTCCCGTTACCAATCATTGATGAACTTTTTTCGGCAATGGCAGGAAGTGAAAGTTTTTCAAAAATTGACTTACGTCAAGCTTACTTACAAATGGAGGTACATCCAGACTATAGACATTTACTTACTTTAAATACACAAAAAGGTCTTTATCAATGTAATAGATTGTTGTTTGGTATTTCATCTGCTCCAGCCATTTGGCAAAGAGAAATTGAAAATATATTACAAGGAATTCCTGGGGTTAGTTTTCTTAGATGACATAAAGATTACAGGCAGCACAGATTCAATACATTTAGAATGTTTAGTTCAAGTTTTTGACAGATTACAAAAATTCGGACTAAGGATTAATTTAGAAAAAAGTGAATTTCTTAAAGAAGAAATAAAATATTGCGGTTACATTATAGATAAAAATGGCATTCATAAGTGTCCGGATAAAATGGATGCGATAAATAAGATGCCACGACCTACAAATGAAACGCAATTAAGGGCTTTCATAGGAATAATAAACTATTAGGGTAGATTCATTCCTAATCTAAGTACTATTCTATTTCCATTAAACCAATTACTTTGTAAAAATAAGCAGTTTAGTTGGACAAACGAATGTGAGAAAGCTTTTTTACAATCTAAAGAGCTTTTTCAAAGTCCAAATTTCTTGGTACATTATGACACTAAGTTACCTTTAGTTGTGGCTACTGATGCAGTCCATATGAAGTAGGAGCGTAAGTAGAAGTAGGAGAGTAATTCAATATGCATCCCAAACCCTTACACTCACTCAAAGAAAATACTCCCAGATTGATTATGCAATGTTCCTACAAGGTGTTAATTATGATATTAAATATCGAAACACTAAATTACATTTAAATGCAGACTGTTTATCCAGATTACCAATTCCAGAAACAACTTCAGTTTCAAATCCTGATGTAGTAGATATTTTTGAAATAAGTATAATTGAAAGTTTGCCAGTTACAGTTGAATTGGTAGCTAAAGAAACAAAAAAAGACCCTGTTCTCTCTAATATTTTACATTTTTTAGAAACTGGTACTGATGTAGATCTGCATTTAAATCCTAAAGTAGATTCAAATGAACTGAGTTTACAACAAGGGTGCATTATGCGAATGCATATGGTATGGATTCCTAAGGAATTGCAGAGCCCTGTTTTAAAAGAACTACACTTAGGTCATTTTGTATTTCCAAAATGAAAGCATTAGCTCGAGGCTATTGCTGGTGGCCCAATATAGATAAATCTATTGAAGATATATTAAGTACCTAATTGCATTGAATGCAACTTAAGACAAAATAGTCCTCCTAAAGTAGACACACACATTTGGGAACCATCTACACAACTGTTCGAACGTGTACATGCTGACTATGCTGGATCAATATGCGGATTTTATTTACTAATCCTCGTAGATTCCTATACGAAATGGCCAGAAGTCAGGCTAGTACATGATATGACGGCGGAAATAACGATTAAAGCCTGCAGACAAATCTTCTCACACTTTGGGATACCACGGTATTTTGTAACCAATAATGGTACTAATTTCAAATCTCACAAATTTCAAAATTTCTTGAAGTCAAACGGGGTGATCAGTAAATTTACAGCTACTAATGAGCAATCAGAACGATATGTTCAAACCATTAAGAAAGCTATACTAAAAATGAACTGTAATAAATCAGATATCGAAAATAAATTACAATTGATACTATTTCAATATAGAATTATGCCCCATGCTGAGACTCAAAGTTCACCATCCCAAATGCTGTTTGGAAAACAAATATGTTCAAGGCTAGATTTATTACTACCTACTAATAATGACAACTGTACTCAAACTACAATAAATGACAACAAAAATGTTATTTAATAAATATAGGAACGCGAGTAGAATGCAGAAATTATGTAGGTTCTGTAAAATGGCTTTTTGGAACTATAAAACAACAGATAGGGAAGTTCACTACTTGATACAATAAGACGATGGACGTGAATGTAGGAGACATATAGATCAAATCAGAGAGATAGGGGAAACCACACCTAAAGTACATGTTCCTCGTTATCCAGATCCACCAACTACTCCAAAAGTGTATAGGCAAATTATGTAACAGGAACCAGTTGTTATTCCAGACAACAATCCTTGTCCTCCAGAGCCTCCTAATTTAGATTCACAGAGAGAAACTAACGTAGATGTAAGTGGTTTTCCAAACCCAGCTCCTTCAGTTAGTGGAGAAAGTGAAAAATCAAGAAGACTGCAAAGGAACTTGAAACAACCCCAGTTTTACCAAATCGGCTAAAATAATGTTCTATGTTGTAGTTCATTTTGATTTTTTTTGTTCCTAATATTTTGTTACTTTGTATTTGCAGCAGTTTTGTTTTTTTCTAAGGAAGAGAGGTGTTATATTATTATATATTACCCATAGTAACGTTAGAGGTGATGACAAGCAATCTAACACATGTCATGCACTAATTTTTCATGTTTTGGGTAATAAAAGTATATTCGTAATTTGACCTGTTATTGTACTACAATCCTTAATCCTACAATATACAGTGGCTACAGTCACAACACTAATCAAGCTATTAGTGTTAGAAACACTTTACATAGAATAATATTCCTGTTATTTACCTGAATTCCATTTAGATTTTGCCCCGTGACTCACCACATCATCATCGTTATGTATGCAAATATACTTATTGAGCTTAATCCTTCTAAAATCATACAAAATAATACCTATACCAACATTATTAAAATTAAGATTATCACTGTGCTCATAAATATTCAACTTATTCCTTGGGACCGCCTTGAAACATGTAAACCAGCTCGGCTGTATTCTTTTGCATAATATTCTTTCTGCCACTTCTTTCCAGGCATTCTTAACTTCACAACAGCTCCGCAAATCGTCGCAGTCCAAATAATCCAAAATTATATCTAATAACGGATAGACAGACTCTAGGGCTTCGAACAAATCGAAATTTTCTGTACAGGGAATTTCCGGATCGACTATGGGTCTTTTCTTAACGGTTTTAATACAAAAAACTTTATCTCCCTGAAATATTAATTTATGAATTAAATTAGAAATAACATTCTCAAAACCGTTTTAAAGATTACATTAAAACAAAAATATGCTTTACATACCATATCAATAATTCATGAGATCTGACAATAATTAAAATTTTTCTTATTTATTTATTTTCTTTACTATTTTTTGTGGTTAGGTATTGTTTTTAGTGTTCTATTTTTTCATGTCATTGAACAATTAGGCATTCCAACGACCTGTCAAACAATAGGTGCCAGTGGGAAATTCTTGTATATTTAAGGGGGTAGCGACATAGTCTTGCAACTTGGACGCTATTTTTATTCGAAGTAGTACTCGCCAAGCCTGCCAATTTATGAAGAAATGTATAGGTGGGTTTTTTAAATATTACTTTTATTGTGTTTGACATAAAATATTTAAATGTAATCCATTATTCATGATTTTACGTAAAGTAGATAGAATACACCATATGTCGCCACCCTTAGATATAACAAACCTGCCCACTGGTAATTCATTTGTTTGGAATGCCTAATTAGGCATTCCAACGACCTGTCCAAATGGCTACCAGTGGGTAATGACAGTTTAGATATGGCAACCCTGTTGTCATGTTGTCATTAACAGGGTCAATGATACATATATAGTTATATAGATTGCTCAAAGCTGGTCGTTTACGAGCGGCCATATTGCCTGGCAAATATTTATTAATTAGAATCGGTTTAGCAAAAATGTGTTTTAAAACCAATTTTTAGTCTTTAGATATTTAAAAAAAATAATTGCTTACATTTTTACTTCAAGGCATAAGCTTATGTTTATTTTGAAAAATATGGATGATCAATCTATGTAACTATCTATTTCATGGACCTTGTCAAATCACCAAGCGTACAGGGTTGCCTTCATTTTGCCATATCATAACCCGTCAAAACCCACTGGTAGCCATTCAGTTTGAAATGCCTTAATAGAGGACTTCTATACAAGGGAAGTGCAACCAACTTGACAAAATAAAATTGGCACTAATGACATAAGAAATCGGGTCACATAAAGAGGCTGTTTTTTTGTTCAATTTTTGGTTTTTCTTATATACTTTTATGCTATTTATATACCATGTTGTACCCGTAACGTAAAAAAGACTTTTTATTTTAGGGTATTTTACATTTCAAGGTTGAAGACATCTATCAATATCAGCTGTCGATAATGTCAAAACATAAGCGTAGCATTGCAATTAATTTTTTTATTGTTAATAGTCTATTTGTGTTTCACCCGCTTAAACATTTTTTTCATTTGGTTTTATATATTTATGTCAAATGCAAAAATGCTGCTGCTACAAATACAAGTTCCATACACTATACAACCATATACAATACTAGTTACGTTATGCCCATCTATGGTTACGCCTGTGTTCTACCAACAACATAATTGACAGCTGACACTGACAAATTTTTTCAACCTTTAGATGTAAAATACCCTAAACTTAAAAGTCTTTTTTACCTTACGGGTACAACATGGTATGTAAATGGCATAAAAGCATATAAGAAAAACAAAAAAGTAAACTTAAAAACAGCCTCTTTATGTGACCCGATTTCTTATGTCATTAGTGTCATTTTTATTTTGTTAAGTTGGTTGCACTTCCCTTGTATAGAAGTCCTCTTGGATTTATTTAAATTTATATTGGCTTCTACATTGAAAGGTTACAGCTAACTCTTCTTATTCTTGGTATGTTACTTCGTAGGCACTTTTCTTATTTTAACATTTGACTAGCTTATGCTCCAGCCACAATTCTTATTTTTTGGTCCTTTTTTTGTAGACGAATCCTTGAATAAAATATTCTTTGCGTTTACATTTATTAAAATTATGTTATTACAGCCTCCAACTCAAACTTGGACCTTTACGTAGATAAATTTTCAGTTCAATTTGACCTGAATAGCTTAATCAGAAACAGACTAAAACTATATTCGAAGAAGCAACGAAGCAACTATTAACCTGAAAATTTTATGACATTTGTTTACACAGAATTTTAAAAGTTGATATAAAATTTGTAATATATTATTACAAAAGTAATAATGAACGATGAGAGGTTTTTAGTCAGTGGTTGGGAAGATGATCTAAATGATATAGACCCATCAAGAAATCCTGAAGGTAAAAATTTACAAAAAGTCTGCTTGCTTTGTTTTAAAATCTTGTTTTTAGAAAAATTACAGGAAGATATGTTAAATGCTTGTGAAAACGGAAGTATAGAATTAGTCAAACAACTCATAGAAGACCATCCTGAGCTTATTAACTCTGTGGATAAAGACAAGTACACACCATTGCATAGAGCTTGCTATAGTAATAATGTAGAAATTGTGGATTATTTGCTGCAAAAAGGGGCAAATATTGCAGCACAGACTGAAATGATGTGGCAACCATTACACTCTTGTTGTCAATGGAATAGTATAGATTGTGCTGCACTACTAATTAGACATGGGGCAGATGTCAATGCGAAATCTGAAGGAGGTAAGATTTTCTAATTTAATCCCACTGTGCTGCCTAGTAAATTAATTTTTTTAAGGCCAAACTCCTTTACACATAGCAGCTGCATCTCACGGATCATCTTATAATACTGTACAAATGCTTTTGATGCATCCCTACATAGATCCTACTATAAAAAATAAAAGTGGAGAAACGGCAAAAGAAATAGCAACTAGAAGTTCTCGATTTTATAATATATTTGAAATGGTCGATCCACTCTTAGATTTTTCAAGTGCAAGGTAGGTTTTTTGAGATTAAAACATGTGTAAAATTATTCAGCTTATTTTATTTTATTTTAGGAATTTGAAGTAATAAAGTTGGAAATGTACATTTAAAATGTTATACTTATTTATGATATATTTGTTATTTTGTGTTTGTTATAAATTAAAAACCAATTAAATTGTTGTGATAATTTTCATATGATAAAATAAAAAACTTATTTTGGTAAGACTTATTATAATACTGTACAGCGTAACCCAATGTTGAAAATTGTGGTGGTTTGATATTTTTATACTAATTGTATGTGTTTGCAAAAGATTGTAAGTAAATAAATCCATTTGTCAAATTTATTTTCTTTGATTAATGATAATCGCAATAACTCAATTTTCTTGAAAGTTCACAATTCGTATTGCATGTCTTTAACGCTAATGTAATCTCAAAGTAGGTATTGACATTATTAATAAAAATCTATGATCAATAGGAGTCTCTGTAAACAAATATTTAACACTTATTCCCACACAATTTATTAATGAACAGGATAATAGTATCAATTAAAAATTATTACTCTATTTTGAATTTGGAAAGGTTCATTAAACTTCAATAGTATTGGTCAAAGAGTAGAAATAACAAAAGAGGACAGTCAGAGCAAGAAACTAAAATCGAGAGCTAGAGCTATACTCCAAAGGGATTCCATAGAAGGTAGTTAATTATTTAAGTAGTATATTGTCATCAGGTGATTTTAATACAGTTACACTTTGTAAAAGGTTCAATAAATCGCAAGAAAGATTGAATGAAACTTCCTTTATTGAACATAATAAAATTGTAACTTAAACAACTAATAAAATGTTAAAAGCAAAACAAATTAAAATATCAAAATATAAAATGTCACAATAATCATTATTTAGTTTAGACACCAACAAACACATCGTTGTAAGCTAAATGTCAGTGTTGCTTTATTTCAAGTTGTTATATGCATTTTTAACTCCAAGTAGTATAATGATAATATTTTTATATTATTTTATCAATAAATTATTAGTACTAATAAATATTTAAATTAGTATTTTTTATCGTCGTTCGGATGTGAGTCTTCTCCAATAACAGTATCTTCTTTAATAATGTTATACACTGTCTGCTTAGATACTCCAGAATAGGTCTTTAGTGGCTATTTCATCCATAGAAAGTGAAAAAGTATTTTCGAAGATTAAATACATTAAGTATGATTTTTTCCTTCCAAATATAATGCACTAGGTCGTTTACGCCAGTGGTGGCTCGTAGGTTTGAATGTAGAGGTGACGTGTTGAAAATAAAACAAAAAAAATTCGCCTTTTTTAATTTTTGGACATAAGGTCGATTATCCTATCCTTTAAACTTGCAAAATTATCTATTATATCATCAAACAATGGTTCTGATCGTACAAGTTCATTTAAAAGTGTCTTTTCAATTGAAATTTGTGCTAAATTGGTAAGTCGATCTTCTTTTATTATATTTCGATTAAAAGTGTATGTGTAGATCAAAAGTTAAATCGACAGTATTCCGAATATGTAGTATTTAAAAATCTAATTTTTGGCCAAATTAAAAATAAAGGTCTAACTTAGGTCACCTTACTATTGAAAATTAATAAATTTATTATTTTCAATAAAAACCAATCGTGTAAAATAACCCCCTTTTATTTCATCTCAAAGGTGCCGTGTAGAATTATTTTAACCTTGATGTCAAACAAATAATAATAAAAAAATGTAATACGACCTAAGTTCAACCTTTACTTGGAATTTGGTACACTCAGAATATTTAAATATTGTATATTTTTCAAAACTTGTAGATTTGAAATTTATAAGTCACTTTCTTTGAAAAAACATGTCAAAACGAATTTGGACCAAAAATGGCGTCTAATTTAACTCTAAATCAACCCCGAAAAATCAATAATTACTTCATGTAATGTAATAAAGATGGTGCTCCGATCGATAATATTTTAACTAGTATTTGATTATTTTCGTTTATATTATGTGTGTTTACGGGGGATATACGAGATGATAATACTGCCTCTGATACTGTTTATATGATACAATTGGAAAGTAGTAATTGGGTCCTATGATTGAACGTTTACGTTAGCCGTAACGTACATGTTATGCCGAATTTTAAAAGTAACGAGGCAAGTTCGGATGATGGAAAACTGTTAAATTAGAAGATAACAGGCGGAAAATAACAGTAACGTGTTGAAAACCGTTTTTCATCATACGAACTTGCCTAATTACTGTTAAAACTGAGCCTAACATGTACGTTACGGATAACATAAACGTTCAATCATAGGACCCAATGTCTGCTAATTTATTTTCTATTCTTGTATGGATTTTTAAATAGTTTATTTATTAAATATACTACCTAGACCTAAGTAAATTGTGAAATAAATTAATGTTTTTCATTGCGATTAAAAGATAATAATAGAAATATCAATATTAAAGCCTTATATTAACAGATAACGGGGTTCGTCTGTAATCATATTTACTTAGAATAAGTAACCAGTAAGTAGGTAGGTAACCAGCTTATTGGTACCTAATTATCTAAAGTAATAATAAACCTAATTGTTTTTTTAATAGGTAAATAGGTAATAGAGACATACTTCAAAAGGTTACCTGCAATATAAAGATTTTCAAAACAAAATTGTTAGGCGCTATTTTCCTACTCGCTTTTTTTTCATTTAATATGTCTTCTACTATATTTAAAACATTTAGAGTAGAATCTTTATTTAGAAATTCAACCCTATCTAATATTTTATCTAAAACTGATTTTACATCTTCTGTCATTCTTTGATCTTTTTTTTGTGCGTTGCTTTTTGCGATAAGGCCTATGCTTGGATTTAAATGACCGCGGCATTTTCACTATATTGTAAACAAAAAATATATAAACGTTAATTAAAATTATACATGTAAAATATTACTAATATTTAACTATTGTAAAAATAGCTATTTGTGTATTACGAGCGGAAAGTGCTACTTTTTCGCTTTAGATAAAAATTTGCCGCACGACGCGCAGTGGAGTGCGACAATTTATCTTAAGCGGCAAATAGCTTTCCGCTCGAATTACACACAATATTTTTTCTACGATCACACCAAAATTACATTTTACTTTAATATTTATTTGGTACTCTGAAAGTTGTTTTGTGTTATGTGTATGTTGCGTTGCCTACATACCTAGCTACAGTTTGAAAACGAAGTAATCTATTTTTAATATTTCAATTTTCAATTATCGTTTAAATATTAAGGGAAATGGGTTTGAATATTAGGTAATGTGCGCCAATAATGTTAAATTATGACAATTCGCGGAAAACGTCAACTTTTTATTTAGATTTTAATGTGCAAAAGCCTACCTACTTTGGATATTGATCGTAGAAAAAATATATTCAGAATAATGAAACATTATTATTAAATAACAAGTTTTTTTATTGTCAAATTTAATACGTAATATTATTTTTTACTTGCAAATATTTGAATGTTAAAATTATAGCGTTTAATTTTTTTATTCAATGACGAAATCGAGAGCGATAGAAAAAAAATACTACCTACCCAGACAGCACACCAAATCCTTTGGATATCTACTGAATATCCCAATATCCACTGAATGTCCAGTCCATGGTGGATATCTATTTTATATCCATGAGCTGTAATTTATAGACATGCAAATATCCATAAATAATAGTAATTATATAGCAAATTATTAAGAAATTACGCCATTGTGCTCACCATTGTGGCTAATAGTACCGTTCCGATATTTAAAATTAATTTTTTTTAAGGTGTAGTCAATATACCATGGACATCCACTAAATATATCAAAGTCTAGGCGCGAACGCAAACCATCGTGGATATCCACTAGATGTAATTTTTGATTTTGCTTACTAAGTATAGATGGCGATACTACTTTCGCATCTACTCATGCTCAACCCGCCATAATTGAGTTCGATCGAAATTTGTTTCACAATCAGACTCCGTTAGAGACTGGAGTCGAGAATTTCCATTTATTGTTGAAGAGTCCTAATAAGGATAACTTTCTCCTTAGTGGGCAATATCAAAGGCAGAGTGTTGAAAATATTTTTTATCTCTGCTATTTTCTTTCAACTTTATGCAATAATCATTGGTTACTTATGAATCTCTACTAAAGATACCTATACAATATTTTGCTGAATATCCGAATTCTTCTATATCCTGGGATATAGACGGACATTTGGTTGGATATCCACGGAATATATTCTGTGGATATCTTGGGATTGCTTGTATTGTCTGGAAGATACTCATTAGATATTTTGCTGGATAATCCATAGGATATCTTCTATATTCTGGATATAGACGGACATTTGGATAACCATATTAGATCCACGGAATATTTCTGATATCCTGTGGATATATTGGATATCCACAAAAGATATTCTGTGAATATCTCTGGGATTTGGTGTGTTGTCTGGGTACCTTTAATGCAGGAAGTCGATGTCAATTTATCCAAAAATAAAACTGATTAAAATGTAAAATTTTGAAAACTAAATACCCGTAAGCTTGTTTGTAAATTTATAGACTCTTAACTCCTTCCCCCAGCCTTCATTAAGTATATTAAAAGTCGTGCGACGTCATATTGGCACAGATACCCCAGACAGCACACCAAATCCTTTGGATATCTACTGAACATCCCAATATCCACTGAATGTCCAGTCCATGGTGGATATCTATTTTATATCTATAAAATGTAATTTATAGACATGCAAATGTCCATAAATAATAGTAATTATATAGCAAATTATTAAAAAATTACGCCAATGTGCTCGCCATTGTGACTAATAGTACCGTTCAGATATTTAAAATTAATTTTTTTTAAGGTGTTATCAATATCCCATGAACATCCACATATATCAAAGTCTTAGTGCGGACGCAAACCATCGTGGATAACTACTAGATGTAATTTTTGATTTTGCTTCCTAAGTATAGATGGCGATACCACTTTCGTATCTACTCATGCTCAACCCGCCATAATTGAGTTGATCGAACATTTTTTCGCATTAAGACTCTATTAGAGATTGGAGTCGAGAATTTCCATTTATTGCTGAAGAGTCC